AACTGAAATGTCAAACTCAAATACTAAAGCTGAATCTAACTATGTCTGAAATAAAGCCTCTACTAACTAGAAATGCTGGGACATACCCAAGCTAGATCTAGAAAAATTGAAACTAAAGACTAAAAGCAAAGGAAACATATTTGTCGTCCTCGGAGAATGAGGACTCACCGCTAATATTGCTGAGTTGAAGATCGGGAACCGTTCTAGGCGTGATATGAAAGCTGAGAACCTGAACCTACATCACGAGAAGATGTAGCGCAAATTATGCATCAGTACTTGAAGGGTACTGAGCATGCAGGATAAAATAAATCTGAACAATAAACATAACTGAACCAAAACATATATCTAAGAAATGATAAGACATAAGTATGATACTATACTGAGAATACTGAATACAATGACCAAGTTTATGACATGCTGAGACTGAAATCTGACTGTAACTGATAACATGGTCAATGCAATAGAATCTGACTGTAAGGGAGCTACTATTAGCTGACATAAAACAACATGAGCAAAATGTAGAGTCCGATGTATACGCCCCATCGAGAGGACCCAATATACCCTGCTAGAGGTATAGAGACTTGACTGACGTGATCACTAAAATGATGCCCATAGAGGGGACTTACAACCTATGGGGTACGTAGTTTTGGGACTTGAGGGTGACTGACCCTAGTCCACTCGGTATTAAGCTACTCCCAATTAATTATGTAAATTACACATTATGACTGAATTTCTACAATACTGGATAGCTGGAAATACTGACATGCAAATTTGAGAATGCAACATTAATGTACTGATAATGAAACATTAATAACTAGAGCATGTATAACTGAATATACTGACCTAGCAAGTGTAATTCATAAACTAAACTGATCTACACCAATAGGGTTCTGAATTTCATGCAAGAACTTAAGCAACAACATGATAATCTGATTTGGATCATTCTAACAGCTAAAACCCAACATTCTCTAACATTCAAGTAACCCTAGGTCTAGATAATATCAAGGGAATCAAGAACATGACTGAAATATAGGGACCTAATAGGCGAAAGGAACCCACTAATGAAATCCCACATACCTGGTGATGACATTCACGGAGAAATCTTTCGATTTTGGGGCTGGAACTCATGAAAACTTGTTGCGTTTTTGAACTAGGGCTGCTCAACTTTCTCCTCTATTTTTCTCTAAGTTTGATGAATTTTTGGTGAATAATTGATTAGGTTAGGTTCTAATTATTTTATTAGGCTAAAGCTGACCAAAACTACATAGTTTAGAGGTTAAATGACGTAGTTTAAGGGTCCAACGCATGAGAAAAAGACCAAACGACCCATGACTTAAAATCTACTGAAGCCACCTACGGACTGATTAATGGTCCGTGGAATGATCCACGACCCATCCTGTTAGTCCGTCGATCAACTTCAGAGGATGGGTTTTGGGGGGAGGTCCTGAGGGTCTCGACTTACAGACTGATCGATGATCCGTGGACTAATCCACGATCTGTCCTGTCAGTCCATCGATCGACTTTAGAGGATGGGTTCTGAAGGGTCCTGAGGGTCTCGACCTACGAACTGATCAATGATCCATGAACTGATCCACGATGTGTCCTGTCAGTCCATCAATCGACTTCATAGGATGGGTTTTGAGGGGTCCTGAGGGTCTCGACCTATGGAAATTGACTTGTTAAAGTTTGTCCCGTAACTTGACTTGTAACCTTGCTGTCAGGTTGTCTCATCTTTTAAATGGAGGTTGAATTAGTTTACATTTCGTTGTTGGTCCATGGATGAAGCAACACTGTAAGTAGGAGATACTTCAACTCTTCACACTAGGTCCAACTTTCCTCAATCAAAGAAGCAAAATTCTAATCCTTTGGACTTCACCAGCAAGAGGAAGCAAACGTCTGTTATTATTCAGCATGAAACTGGACTCCTAGTTAATTATGTAAATTACATATTCTGACTGAATTTCTGCAATACTGGATAGCTGAAAATACTGACATGCAAATTTGAGAATGCAACATTAATGTACTGATAATGAAACATTCATAACTTGAGCATATATAACTGAATATACTGACCTAGCAAGTGTAATTCATGAACTAAACGGATCTACACCAATAGGGTTCTGAATTTCATGCAAGAACTTAAGCAACAACATGATAATCTGATTTGGATCATTCTAACTGCTAAAACCCAACATTCTCTAACATTCAAGAAACCCTAGGTCTAGATAATATCAAGGGAATTAAGAACATGACTGAAATATAGGGACCTAATAGGCGAAAGAACCCACTAATGAAATCCCACATACCTGGTGACGACATTCACAAAGAAATCTTTCGATTTTGGGGCTGGAACTCATGAAAACTTGTTGCGTTCTTGAACTAGGGCTGCTCGACTTTTTCCTCTATTTTTCTCTAAGTTTGATGAATTTTTGGTGAATAATTAATTAGGTTAGGTTCTAATTATTTTATTAGGCTAAACTGACCAAAACTACGTAGTTTAGATGTTAAATGACGTAGTTTAGGGGTCCAACACATGAGAAAAAGACCAAACGACCCATGACTTAAAATCTACTGAAGCCACCTATGGACTGATTAACGATCCGTGGAATGATCCACGACCCATCCTGTTAGTCCGTCGATCAACTTCAGAGGATGGGTTCTAGGGGGGTCCTGAGGCTCTCGACTTACAGACTGATCGATGATCCGTGGACTAATCCACGATCTGTCCAGTCAGTCCATCGATCGACTTTAGAGGATGGGTTCTGAGGGGTCCTGAAGGTCTCGACCTACGAACTGATCAATGATCCATGAACTGATCCACGATGTGTCTTGTCAGTCCGTCAATCGACTTCATAGGATGGGTTCTGAGGGGTCCTGAGGGTCTCGACCTATGGAAATTGACTTGTTAAAGTTTGTCCCGTAACTTGACTTGTAACCTTGCTGTCAGGTTGTATCATCCTTTAAATTGAGGCTGAATTAGTTTACATTTCGTTGTTGGTCCATGGAGGAAGCAACACTGTAACTAGGTGATATTTCAACTCTTCACACTAGGTCCAACTTTCCTCAATCAAAGAAGCAAAATTCTAATCCTTTCGACTTCACCAGCAAGAGGAAGCAAACGTCTGTTATTATTCAGCATGAAACTGGACAAATTCTTCCCTTGTTTGTGTTATTTGTTAAGTTTATTGTGGCCTCCTATGACTACTTGTCTTGTTTAAATTTTAAAGTAAATGTTGTCTATTTGAATTAATTAGCATTATCTATGATAGATTAACAAAGAAAATGTCTGAAGTTCTATATATTTGTATTTCAGGTTCTTTGCCTCAAGTTCGAACAAAAAATGGATGAGTATCACCCATATATAACATTGTGCTTAAGGTGGCTTCAAGAGAGCCAAGAAACTACTAACATGATAGAAGAGGAAGTGTCGTTGGAAAGTTGGGAGGGGCGAAAATGTTTGTTGTTTCTGCAAGTTTGACATTTAGTGTATTGACATATGGCTTCAAATGTACATCAGAAATTGAAATAGACAAGTTGGTTTTCTTTCAAGTGAAGGGTTCAAGAGAAGAAGAAGGATAAAAAGAAAATATGTGAGAGGATAATGTGATGAGTAATATTGGCCAATAGAATGCACTGAAGCTCTCCAATGGAATGAACATGAAAATATGTCATAATGCTATACATAATGCTATACACGAAATAAATATCTTATAATAATTCAAGGATATAATTGGAAAGAAGCATTTTGTAGAGTTTTAAACCATGCATACACAAGATTAGATGAGAAATAATGAACCAAACACTTGATAAAAAATAATCCCTGCATTATCAATCTTTCTACCAAATGACCCCTAAAAGCACTAGTGAATGGATAATATTTGAATGATTTGAGCTCACGTAATTTAAGAGGTGAAAAAATTTATTTAGTAGTTTTAGACAACCTGCTTGCGAAGAGGTCTCCTCCTTCTATCAAGTTACCTTGTATAATAAGTTGGCATACTGATTCGCTATTACAAAGAGCTTGATATTCTTTTTGTAAAATAATTGTGGTGTCTGGCCAGCTTGCACACACTCTATCTAATTTCCAAGGGATACCTTCCACCAGCAACATGGACCGTGTAACTCTATCCACCAAGGGTAGCTAGGACAGATGAAAAGAAATCACCTAGTGGTTTCGTCTCTTGAACCCGAGACCTTATAGTTATCACCCATTTCATTATCCTCTAAGCTACACCCTTGCGTGCAAAATGGCGCATGATATTCTTAAGTGGGATAGTTGTAATTTGTAATAGCCTATATTCTTATAATCATGTGTGCTCTGACCTCTATCAAGTTGATTAATGTGTTACATAATCAAGGGAGACGAAAAAATAGGAGGTTGAGGAATAAAATACGTACACGAGGGAATGCAACTATTAAAGTAAGTTTATGTACACGAAGGAATACTTAATTGATTTTGAATTTAGTAAATTTTGATTGTGTTCTTAGAGATAATGAGTAGCTAAATTTCATAACTAGGGTTGTGGGAACCATGATGACTTATTAAAGTAAGTTTATGTACAAAGTGATTCTTGAATGATTTTTATGCATGTATTGTTAATCATATCATTTTGAATGCTTTTTAACGGTGGCCAACATTAGAACTCCCATCATCCCTACTTGTTGAACCAAGAAAGTAATGAATGAGAAAAAGATTAAACAACAGAGATTTAGACGTGTTTAGCCGTTATCTAATAGCCTGACCCTAATAATGCAAAGGCTAAAAGTTACCATGTCAAATATTAGAAAAACTATGTTGTTAAAATATCTTACTCTTCAATACCAAACATCACATAGTTACCGTTCTTGTAATTAGCATGTAAAAGAAGGGCAATTTAGTAAAAGGTGGCAAAATATGACCGTTGGGAGCGATTGTCCCTGTATATTTACTTTCGATGTTCTTTTAACTCCAAAACTAGGACAAAAAAATACAAAATAGTTTTGAGAAATCATCCAACATACTGAGAAGAAAGCTTAATAATCTTGTGTGCAAATTCTTCGAAGAAGGCTGTAAATTTCTCTATTTTGTGAGTTTCTTGTGTTCTTCTGCTATCTATCATCCTGTTTTTAATCCCTGAGAAAAATTATAATTTTTTCCGCCTAACTGCTATGGAACTATGTTCAATTCTCGAATCTTGTACATTTGGGTTTCTTCTATTTTAGGGTTCAAGTTGAAAAAGAGAATTTAAATTCGATTTTTGGTTCTTCATATGGAGTTATTCTAGGGTTTTTCTTTGTTAGATTATAAAGGGAATTGTAGTGATCTGATCTTGATACAAGCCTTACGTACTTAAGTAATATAATAACCATAACCCAACAACTCTAGAAGTTGAATCTCCTTTCTTTCTGGATGGATGGAGAACCTGGGCGGAAGATGTTGTATTCTTTTGGATTTTATTGGCTGAGTGATCTATACTGTTACCTGTATTTGTTGGATGTTGACAACTTGTCTCCCCTATTTTACCAATGCTTTTTCGAGATACATGCATAATCTGTATAAATTCAAAGTTCAGAATTGTGTAAAGGATTCCTTTTCCAGATCTCTTTAAGACCTTGTTCCTTTTGAATATCTCATAGGGTAAATTGTTTGAACTTTGCAGATACAAACACTGGGGACAAGCATCTCCATGGTTAGGTGGGATTAATCCTCTAGACCAAGAAATGCCAATAGACGGGGATGATGGATTTTTCCCTACATCTGGCAATGACTTGGTACGTTTCATGTTGTCCATCATAATGATATGAGAAATTTAAATTTGCGCCCTCTTACACTAAACTATTTTTCTAGAAACTAGAAGTAGTCAATTCCAGTCAGAAGTATCGTGTTTATGTTCTAGTTTGTGCTCCGTCAAATTATGCGCTCGACGAGATTGTGTTGCACATTCTAAACCCCGGTACGCTCTTTTTTATGTACATATTTCTTCTCACACAAGTTGTTGTGGTGTGGCTATGATGAATATCATTACTTGATTGTTGAATTTACAAAATTATAGAATACTTCTGCTCCTTTTGTGCTTTTACAACATGAAATTTCTATTATTCTGAAAATTGCCTGAAGAAGATCTATTCATTGATCTTATATCAATCACTTTGAAGCTTTTAGTATCTGTTCCACTTGTGAATGAAATAGATATAACGTACAACAATGTGATAACTAAGTCGATGAGTGCTATGAGAAATGTTGGTATACTTAAATCTGCTTAACCAGCCTTACATTAGGGGTGCAGTCATCAGTAAACCTGTAAGAAATCTTTACCACTCAGTGCTTCTGTCCCCCTTGATGACCTATTAGTAGTTCTCAGTCATGTAAAACTTAGCATACATTTTTCTCATTCAACATTTCTCTTTGCAGGCATTTGTGTTGATACATGTTTGACTTATCCATTTATTTTCTAGGTTGTATAAACAAAATAGGACTTTTCTTAATGCTCTTTCAAGTGTACTATTTTGTTATTTATGTACGTATGTATCTCGAAAAGCCACGACAAGTGGAGCTGCTCAGTGCTCAATTGTTTGTTTTTATTTATTCCGTGAAAAATACTTTAATGTATCAAAATTACCACAAAAAGAGATTAGTGTATAAAATAAAAAAGGCAGTGGTTGATATTCAAGTTAATCTAGTCTCATTGATGCTTTTTAACCAGAAAGTTGGAACTTTAATAGAGTTAAGTATTTAACAAAGTTCATTACCATAGGGTCCACCAGGGACTGGAAAAACACAAACCATACTTAGGATTCTAAGTGCCATTTTGCATGAAACTCCTGCTAGAGTACACTCCAACATGTATGCCGCTTAATTTGTGGAATTTTCACGGTCAAACGGAAAAAAAAGTGAATAAATATGTTATGGCCAAACGACTCCCTGTTTGGCATTATATTTGGGCATCTTCTTCTTACCCTCTTCCCGGGATTGATAGTTATGTTTCTTGCTATTACTGCAAAGTAAATGGTATAGAGTTTATACACATTGAATCATTCTATCAAATATATTTCACAGACTCTACATGGATAAAGTCATGTTATTTAAGCTTTGATTCTTGTCTATAATGTTCTTTTCTTTGTTGCAAAACTAGTGATCTGGTATTTTAAGAAAAAAAAACTATGTCTTCAATAGTGTTGTAACTGTATTTAGTTGCCCTCGTGAAGATGGCAATTGCTGGTGCCACATTATAGATAATCTTTTCTTTTCCATATGCCCTTTGGGCAGAATTTGAACTGTTTATCTTGGAAAGCTATTACTAGCTTTTTTGATCTTTGATAATTCTGTTTCTTTCTACCATTGCAGATATTATTCTAAGTGATTGAATAGAGAATATAGACACACTGAATCGAAATGCAACATAAAATTCTTTGATGCTTACATCACTCAATTCTTTGTTGTTTTTGCTTGTACTTTCTGTATGTGATCAATCATGTTTTGCTCTCATTTCACGTTACCATATGCCCTTTGGGCAGAATTTGAACTGTTTATCTTGGAAAGCTATTACTAGCTTTTTTGATCTTTGATAATTCTGTTTCTTGCTACCATTGCAGATATTATTCTAAGTGATTGAATAGAGAATATAGACACACTGAATCGAAATGCAACATAAAATTCTTTGATGCTTACATCACTCAATTCTTTGTTGTTTTTGCTTGTACTTTCTGTATGTGATCAATCATGTTTTGCTCTCATTTCACGTTATAACCTCATTTACATGGTGCAGGATCTTATCCAAATTCTGTTGGGACACGAAGACATGGCTATGCTTCAGGATCAGAATATCAATATACATTTTGATGGTAGAAACCTCATTACATAACCCTGAGAGTATAATGCTATGATACACTTCTGTTGGTTCACTAAAAATTATTTTTCACAGGTGCTTCTTTGTTTGGAAAGAATGATACTTCCAAATCCCTGAAGAAAGGAGGAGGACTTGGTGGAAGAAAAGCACGTAATGACATCTCAAACTCAGCAAACCCTCTTCTCTTCAGGCATCAAAGAAAAACTACACGAGTGTGATTTCCACCGGGAAAGATCTTAATGCCACCAAAAATAAATTTACTGCTGAGACAAAAGATAACTTTGCTAAAGTACATGACAAGGGTGGTAGGAAAGCTCTCACTGATCTTACAAACTCAAGAAAGCCATTAGCAAAGCAGGGGTGCAAGAAGGGACTTGATAAGAAATTGAGTGCTGCTGCAGCAACAAATATTCCAATGGTAATAAAAAAAGTTACAATTGAGCAATCTATGTCTTTTTGTTGTTTTATGAAGCAATTGATAATCTGATTTTCGTATGACAGATATACTTGTGCAGGTGTACTTGCATCTTCACATGCGTCTAAACTCTCAATGAAGTCAATGGGGAGTAGGATTCCGGTTACTTCTTCAATAATTTGCTTGATCCATATACAACTGAAAAGAGGACCAAATCAACAGAAGCTTTTCAAATGAAACTGAAAAGGGAAATAAAACTGGCCTAATATTTCTGGAAGTTAAAGCCCGAATGGCCCAAACTCATTCTATCTCTCTCTTGATTATTAGATTGTATTTAGTTATTTTTGTTTTGATGAATTCTAACTTTGAATACTTAGATTAACTTAATTAAATGAAAAAACAATAAAGATTTTAGGTGAAGCTTTACAATGAAAAAAACTAATACTTCAAAGAGTTACACGAAGTACAAAGAGAAGAAGGGCAACTCTTGTTGATTTTTTGAATACTTGTATTTTGTTCTTTTAAATAGGAGGAACAACAAGAAACATTAAAAGAGATATGTCTTGTTTGATTTTTTGAATACTTGTATTTTATTCTTTTTAATAGGAGAAACAAGAAGAATCTTATTTGATTTTTAGAATACTTGCATTTTATTCTTTTTAATAGGAGAAACAAGAAGAATCTTGTTTGATTTTTTTGAATTCTTGTATTTTATTCTTTTTAATAGGAGAAACAAGAAAAACTAGTAGAACATATATGTTACTCTTGTTTGATTTTTTGAATACTTGTATTTTATTCTTCTTAATAGAAGAAACAAGAACATATATGTTACTCTTGTTTGATTTTTTGAATACTTGTATTTTATTCTTCTCAATAGAAGAAACAAGAAGAATCTTGTTTGATTTTTTGAATACTTATATTTTATTCTTTTTACTCTTGTTTAATTTTTTGAATACTTGTATTTTGTTCTTTTTAATGGGCTTTGTATTTAGTATAAACATTAGTGAGGGGTGGGGGTGTCCTCGGGGTATGGCTCCTCGGGGATTGGGGGGTTTGGGGGGGGGACGACGCCCCGGCGATGGGGGGTGGGGTAGTGGGGCACAACACCCCGACACCCTGGGTAGGGGGCACGACTCCCCGGGGTAGGGGTGGGGAGAAGGGGCACACTGCCCCGAGGTAGGGGAAGTGGGTGGGGTCCTCGGGGCACGACGCCCCAGGGATAGGGGAAGTGGGTGGGGGGTGGGGTTCTCGGGGCACGGTACCCCGGGGATAGAGGGGTAGTGAGAGCGGGGTGGGCTCCTCGGGGAACGACGCCTCGGGGATAGGGGTAGGAGGTGGGGGTAGGGTCATCGGGGCACGATGCCTCGAGAATGATTGGGGTAGGGGGCACGGATCCCCGGGGTAGGGGTCCTCAAGGAATGGCTCCCCTGGAATAGGGGTGGGGCCCTCGGGAACGGCACCCAAGGGATATGATGTAGGGGGTTAGGGTCCTCGTGGTACGGAGCCTTGGGGATGTGGGGTAGGAGATGAGGGGTACAGTCCTCGAGGCACGGCGCCTCGGGGATTGGGGGGTAGGGGTCCTCGGGGATGGAACCCATAGAATGGGGTAGGGGGCACGGCTCCTTGGGGTAGGTGGTGGGGGGTAGGGGTCATCGGGGCACGACATCTCTGGGATGGGGGGTAGGGTGGTGTTCTCGAGGGACGGCGTCCCAGGGATAGGGGGTATGGGGTTGGGAGGGTGGGTCCTAGGGGTGCAACGCATCGGGAATTGAGGGTGGGGGGTCCTCAGGGTATGGGGGATGGGGGGCTTCTCGTGGCACGACGCCTCAGGGGTTAATGGGGTAGGGGTCCTTGTGGCACGGCTCCCCGGGGATTGAAGGGGGTGGAGTGGGGGTCCTTGGGGCACAGTGCCCTGGGATAGGACGTAGGGGGTGGGGTCCTCGGGGAACGACACCTCGGGGATAGGGGTAGGGGGTGGGGTCCTCGAGGATGGGGGGATGGGGGGGTTCTCGTGGCACGGTGCCTCGGGGATTAATGGGGTAGGGGTCCTTCTAGTACGTCTCCCCGGGATTAGATGGGGGTGGGGGGGGTCCTTGTGGCACGGCTCCCCGGGGATTGAAGGGGGTGGAGGGGAGGGGGTCCCTGGGGCACGGTGCCCCGACGATAGGACGTAGGGGGTGGGGTCCTCGGGGAACGGCACCTCGAGGATGGGGTCCTTGGGGAATGGCACCTTGAGGGTGAGGGGGTGGGTGTGGGGTCCTCGGGTCACGACTCCCCTGGGGATGGGGGATAGGGTGTGGTGTTCTCAGGGCACGGTGCCCCGGGGATGGGGGTAGGGGGTGTGGGGCGGGGGACCTCGGGGTACGCAACCTCGAGACGGGGGGCGGGGGAGGGGGCCTTGGGCGGAGTACCTTTGAGCTTGTGGTGGAAGGCCCCTTGCCAGTCTCGATACCGGAGGACGCTCAAGGAAGGGGACTTCAGGCTTGGAGGCCCCCAATTCCTGAGGCGCTCAAGGCCTCGTAGCATGGGGCCTAAATAGTTTTATTTTTGATAAATTCTTTTATCGTATAGTGAGGTACATGTAGATCATCTCATAAAAATATGGAGGACCCTCAATTGGTTGTTTAACAAGAATCATTTATGTTCCAAAATCTCTCTATTGTATTCAAACGAGGCTATCGTCGAAGCACAAATAAGAATTTACTATTATTGTGGTTTAGGAAATAATATATCCTTTGTTACATCAATTTATGGATGGGTTTAACAACTATCTCTGTAGAAGATTTGAGTCTTTGCCATCATTAGAGGAGCTACAAGGCAAAGGGCTGGTGTATCTGTCAAAGTAGGGGAAATAAATGCTCTTGTAGTCAATAAGAGGAATTTAAAAGGAAAGCACAAACAAAGGTGCTTTTGTCAATGTTGATGTATTTGGATTTCTTTTGTCATTTGATGTACTTATTCTCGCTTCTCCTTTTCTCTGTACATACTGAAATGTGAATGATTGGAGTAAAAGCATGGAAATATGTTAGTTTACTGACCATGTGATTTACTACTTTCCAGCCTCATTCTCCTTTTTAGCCTCCTTCTCTTGATATCATGTGTTAGTTCCATTGGATTTAAATTAAATATAAAATACTGCATGCCAAAATGGTGGTATCTGCAACCTTTTGACAATACCAGTAATTCAACTGATCTAAGCGAGCCTGAGTTGTCTGGTCTTCTGCATTTGCTCACTGCAGTTGTCTTGTATGGTTAGTTAATTATCAGATCCCTCTATGATGATGAAACAGGAACTCTTGCTCAAGCTCGTACTTTAAACTTAAATGAGGAGCTGGGGCAAAATTGGCACTTTAACGTGCAATCGAATGGACTTCCTGAAATGCTCTATTGCTGGTCTTCAGTATGGAACATGTGCTAGTAATGTAGAACTTGCAGCTGCAAAGCAGTCAGCAGAGACATGGCCGAGTGGACAACAATTTTTTTTCCCCAGTTCAAATTCGGACGTGGGTGGGCAAGATAATTAAACCTTCACAGACAACTGATCGTGGAAATGCAGCAGTCCAATTAGAGACAGTCGCCACCTCTAAGATGAAAGAAACTAAAGGGGGTTCAACTTTGAGGATAGCTGCCTTATTAAGGGATGTTGGATGGAAGAACCAAATCCAGATGTCATTTTGCTTTTCTATAGGATACTTGCAATTTTTTATGCTGCTGTTCTCGAGCAAAATGAGGAGACTTGAGGCCTTAATTATGAATCAGAGTCTCCAGATGGAGTATCATTTCTTGTTGCAGCAAGAGAATTCGGTTGAGTTTTTCAAAAGAACTTAATCAAATGTTTTTGCAAGATCAAGGTAAGATCGAAGTTTCAAACCTCCAAAATTTACTCCCAAGAATTGCATTTCATTTACTTCAGGGAATACAAAATTCTAATCATTTGGATTTCACCAGCAAGAGGAAGCAAATGTCTGTTACTATTCAGCATGAAACTGGCCAGATTCTTCGCTTGCTTGTGTTATTTGTTAAGTTTATTAATGTGGCCTATGAATACCTGCCTTGTTCAATTTTTAAGTAAATGTTGTCTATTTAAAATATGCAGAGCATTATCTATGACAGATTAGCAAAGAAAATATATGAAGTTCTATATATTTGTATTTCAGGTACTTTGCCTCAAGTTTGGACAAAAAATGGATGAATATCACCCATATATAACGTTGTGCTTCAGGTGGCTTCAAGAGAGCCAAGAAAATACTAACATGATAGAAGATGAAGTGTCGTTGAAAAGTTGGGAGGGGTGAAAAGGTTTGCTGTTTCTGCAAGTTTGACATTTAGTTGTATTGACATATGGCTTCAAATGTACATCAGAAATTGAAATAGACTAGTTGATTTTCTTTCAAGTGAAGGGTTCAAGAGAAGAAAAAGGATAAAAAGAAAATTTCCAGCCACAAACATGTAAGTGTTTATATGCATTCAACAATTTGTACTTTCATTTAGTTTTGTTGACGTTCGGTAAAAGAAAGAAAAGAAAAGAGTTGGTTTTCCTTTTTACTATAAATGAACTTCTATCAAATTTAGAAACTTAAATATACTTATTGAACCCTCAATATTTAAAACATGTGATGTAACACTTAAATAATGGATACTATGAATGATTTGAGCTCATGTAATTTAAGAGATGAAAATATCACCTGCTTGCATTCATTACTGAAACGACTGTTTTAAAGTGCCACAATATGAGTTTAATTCAATCAATTGTTATTCCT